ACGCCTGGACTTCAGTCAGATCAACAAGAAATGAAGATTTACTTTATTATGTCAGGACTTATTTATGGATTTATTTTATAATATTTCCTTGCCTTTTTCTTTTGAACGTTGTTTTATTTCTTCAGCTGGAATCTGGTTCTGACATTATAAATGATCATCTTTTGGTAAAACAGCAACAAAAGGAAAATAAAATCAGATCCTGGTTAAGTTTATAAATCAGGTATTAATAATATTAACAGTTGATTCTGCCAGCGATGCGTTCGATTGACTCCGTTACTCTGAGCGTTGCTGGTCGGTGTCAGTAGAAGGTAAACCCGGTTCTGTCTGCAGAGGGGAACTCTCGCTGCCAGACGCCGGTGAAGATGAAGCTGACCTGCGACCCGGAAGCTGTGGACTGGACCGGCGCCGAGGCGTCCCTCTTCCGGGTCCTGATCGGGACGTACTACGACAACTTCTGCGCCATCGCCCGCCTCATCGGAACCAAGACCTGCAGACAGGTGAGGCCACCAGAACCTTCACATCAAGATGAAACATGTTTGGTGTCAATCAACTCAGTTTGTGCCGCAACACGTTTTTGAGTTTCTTTCTCAGATGTTGATGACCTCTGACCTCTGGAAACTTCATTAATATCTGTAAAGTGGAAAAATTGTTGCTGCACAAACATTTGAGACCAATTATGTGGTCGATTTCACAACCCGTTCCGGCCCATCAGAACCAGAGCAGCAAACGGACCCTGACGTGTTTCCTGTCCAGGTTTACGAGTTCCGGGTCAAAGAGTCGGCCATCATCGCCCGGGCGCCGGCCGAGGACGAGGACACGCCCCCAGGAAGAAGAAGAGGAAGCACCGGCTGTGGGCCACGCACTGCAGGAAGATCCAGCTGAAGAAAGGTCAGAACCGCTCCGCCGGGCCGCAGCAGAACCCAGACAGAACCCGCAGCGCTGAGTGTGTGTTGTGCCGCAGACGGGTCGTCCAATCACGTGTACAACTACCAGCCGTGTGACCATCCGCGGCAGCCCTGCGACTCGTCCTGCCCCTGCGTCACCGCGCAGAACTTCTGCGAGAAGTTCTGCCAGTGCAGCTCCGAGTGTAAGCGCACGCCCCGTTCTGCCGGGCCCCGTTCTGCCGGGCCCGGTTCTGCCGGGTCGGGTTCTGAGCCGCTGTCCCGTCTCCACAGGTCAGAACCGCTTCCCGGGTTGCCGGTGCAAAGCCCAGTGCAACACCAAGCAGTGCCCCTGCTACCTGGCGGTGCGGGAGTGCGACCCGGACCTGTGCCTGACCTGCGGCGCCGCCGACCACTGGGACAGCAAGAACGTGTCCTGCAAGAACTGCTCCATCCAGCGCGGAGCCAAGAAGGTGAGGCCCGGTTCTACAGAACCTCCTGAGGATGTAATCGGACCCTAATGGTGGTTCTGGTCGCAGCACCTGCTGCTGGCGCCGTCCGACGTGGCCGGCTGGGGAATCTTCATTAAGGAGCCGGTCCAGAAGAACGAGTTCATCTCCGAGTACTGTGGAGAGGTGAGGCTGCAGCAGCACAGAACCAGAACCTGGACTCTGAGTTCTGGTTCTGGTTTCGAAACGATGCTGATACACCCAGAAACTTTCACTTTGTCTCTGAGTATCTGTGAACAGCCATGATGACCTCTGACCCTCATGTTGAGGTTGGAGGTCATTAGAGGTCGTTGTGGGCTCAGAAGGTTCTGGAGCGGACGGGTCGTGTTCAGTGGTCTGGACTTTGGTCCAGGTTCTTCATCTTTCTGTCTCCTGCAGATCATCTCTCAGGACGAAGCCGACCGCCGAGGGAAAGTTTACGATAAATACATGTGCAGCTTCCTCTTCAACCTCAACAACGGTAAGAACCCAGCGGAACCGACCGGGTCGTCACCGACCGGGTCGTCACTGACTCTGAACCAACCGGGTCATCACCGACCGGGTCGTCTCTGACTCTGACCGGTTTCTTTCGTCCTCAGACTTTGTTGTTGACGCCACGAGGAAAGGCAACAAGATTCGCTTCGCCAATCACTCTGTAAACCCAAACTGCTATGCAAAAGGTAGGCCGGTCAGAACCGCAGTGGACGGGTTCTGTTGGTGGTTCTGCTGTAACTCGGTCCACTCTCTGCAGTGATGATGGTCAACGGGGATCACAGGATCGGGATCTTCGCCAAAAGAGCCATCCAGACCGGAGAGGAGCTGTTCTTCGACTACAGGTCGGTCAGCAGAACTTCGGCCCAAATGGATTTATACCGGCCGACACACGATATCGGATCTTCACGTAGCGAGAAAAAGCTCGTCTGAAGGAAACGTTGTTCTGTCCCACAGCAAAACTCACTTCCAACACCAAGCAACTAAATGGGAAACATAAATAAACTCATATTTACACAGCAGGCAGAGAGCAACACGATCAGTAGCACCTTCAAATTAAAAGCCTAAAACTCTGTCCAGCGGTAGCAGCATCACCAGCAACTGAAATAATAACTTCATTTATAAATAATAAACTCATATTTACTTTATGTTAAACTAATATTCCCACGACTGATTGGTGATGATTACTGACCGATTAGAAAACCTTCACTCTGAATGGTGAACAATGATTTTTACGTGATTTCAGTAAACGCCCCACGAATCCATCCAAATAGACTGGAGACTTTATCTCTTATTTTGACATAAAATCCATGATTTTAGATGGTGAGCAGAAAAAAATCAGATTTTATAAAATATCAGACGGAGCCAACATGGCTGACATAAACTTTTATTCTTCACTGCCGTTCATGAATAAATGTTTGGATGTTTTTAATGAATGTTCTGGATTTTAACTGAATCCTTTCACAGGAACATTCACATCAATATCAGGTTGATTTTAAACCTCATGTGGTTTTATTTCTATTTATTAAAAGTTCTTTTAGTTTTAATCCTCTGAGTTTCTATTTTGCCTTCTCGTTTTGATGATGTCATCATGTGTCTCCGCCTCCAGGTACAGCCAGGCCGACGCCCTGAAGTACGTCGGCATCGAGCGCGAGATGGAGATCGCCTGAACGGACCTGCGGTTCTGACCCGGACGCCTTAGACCCAAACGAAACAAACTTCTCTTCAGGAAACTTTTTCTCTACGTTGATTTTATTTCCCGTCAACAAGCGGTTCGGACCCGACCGGAACCAAAAGTCCACACTCGGGACCAAAACTCCTCCACCAGCAGCTCCAGGGTTCTGTTCACGACCCGGACGGGCCCGACACTGCCAAACCAAACGGTTCTGACCCAGTTAAACTTTCGGATCAGAACCGCACACTGAACACTGGGAATGTGCTCAGATTGTTTCACACCAGCAAACCCGGTTCTGGTTCTGGTGCGACCCGGAACCAGAACCTCCTCTGCTCTGCCCTACCTGGACCTTCTGATGGTGCTTCAGTCCGGGTTCTACAGAACCGATGACTTCTTCCTGCCGGGTCAACCGGACCTGGTGCTGATCCGGAACCGCTGACCAGAAGTCCTGCTGGTTCTGTGCATTTAGTGTTTTATCAAGATTCTGTTTGGAGAACGGATCGGAACCGGCCCGGTTCTGTCACCTGGTGCTCAATTTTAGTTTTCCGGGTTCATCTGGATTCTGATCCTTGACGGGATGAGGAACCGGACCCTTAAGTTCTGTTTGGTTCTGAACCGGTTTGGACCAGAACCGGATCAGAACCAAACCCTCAGCAGGTGAATTATCAGAACCTTCATTGTTCTGATTTGTTTTTGTACAAATGAAATAGTTAAAATATGTCGTCATGGCGATGGATTCTTTAAGCCAGCTGATGGTGCAGCAACATGTGTGGGAGGGGCTGTTACCATGGCGACAGCAATGCCAGGGTTTCCTTTTCAACGAGTTTGAACCGGTTCTGACCCGGTTCGTTGGATTTAATCTTTCTGGGTTTTTCATGGACGGTTGGATTCTGTTTCGGATCAGGAGGTTCTGGACGTCGGACCCGACCAGAACCGCAGCATTCCTCCAGAACTGTCCGAAGCGGCTGGGCTCCTGTAGAATCCCGTCGCTGGTGCTGAACCGGGTCGGGTTCCAGAACCCAACTCGTTAAACTTCAGGTTCTTCTGACGCCGGTGCTGAACCGGGTCGGGTTCTGAACCCGACTCGTTAAACTTCAGGTTGTTCTGATGCCGGTGCTGAACCGGGTCGGGTCGGGTCGGGTGCTGATTGTTTTGATGTTTACTGGGATTCTGCAGATTAAAAATATTCTGAATGGTTCTTCTCTGCTCCGTTTCTGTCCGTTTGGGTTTAAACAAAGTTTTGGTTCCGGATGTCTGAACTGGTCCTGATCAGAACCGGTCCAATATCTGCAAGTATTTATGACCAGCCCTTATTTCTATAACATTCAGGTCCAAACTTCAAAGCTGAACTTTATCGTTTTCCTTCGACTGGTTGCCGGTTTGGTAAAACCGAAGAAAGTTTGGGTGAAATGATCCGATTTCAACAGAACCGAAATATTTCGGGAAGCATTTGGACCTGATGGTTTGCTGAGTGATTAAATGTAACTGGGGCTCTTGGGCTTCCGTAGTTCCTCCAAACAGGATTTAATCATTAGCTGTTAGTCGGGCTCTCTGCAGCTGGTCACTCTTATGTGGTTCAGCCAGCTGACTAGCAGTGTAGCAGCTGCACTCATTAAAGGGATTTAAACCAGAGGAACTTTGGGTTGGTTCTGGTTCCGACCCGTTTGACCCACAGACTCAGTCAGGCGGCGTTAGAGAAATCTTTCCTTGTTTTTATTTATCACACATTTAGAAAATGAACCACACTATACAAATGTCCACCGTTCAGTAATGGATCCGGCCTCCTGCCTGCGGCCGGCGCCGGTCCGATCCTCGCTCGGCGGCCCGGCTCGCCGTGCGGCCGCCGTGGTAGCATGCAGAACCTTTGGGTGCGGCGGCGGCCTCAGACTAATTCATGAACGTTTGCACTATGCAGAGATTCATTCCTCTTACAGTCTCTTATTTACAACATGAGGGCGAGTCGATGGGGACGGGCGAGCGAGTACACGGGGTTTCCCAGCCTCGACAGCAGGGCGTTTCTTCCTTCATCGCAGCACAAACCCTCCTCTTCCTGTTTATCGGTGCGGTCACATGGTTGGGCGGCTCCGCCCCTCAGATCCACACGTTATTTACTCAGACATCAAATAAAAAAAACAAAAGGTTACAAATAAAAATCAAAGTGAGGGGAGTCGTGGCCGTGGCGATGAGATCAGGCCAGGTAGCTGTAGGTGTCCTTCTCTCCGTCCACTCGCTCCAGGTACTCCTTCTATCAGGATGTCGATTTCTGGCCACAAGGGGAGACAAAGCGCTCCGTCAGCAAAACCGGATGCAAAGTTCAGATCATTAATAGTTTTAAACTAATTCAACAAGAGAATTTTTTATCCAGTTAATTGATTAATTAATGATTGTTAGATTAACGTTAATCCAGACTAAATCTGCAGCTGTTTGGATTTTCCTTCAAGCTTTCTTAACTGGGTCAAGACGGGTCCATTTCAGAACCTGTTTAACGCTCAGAACCCCATCCCGGGTCAGAACTCGGGTCGGGTCGGCGGTACCTTGATGACAGGAACTCTGGGTTTGAACCGGGACGACAGCTGGTTCAGGACTTCAGCCAGGAGCTGCTGGTGCTTCAGAACCTTCCTCATCTTCATGATCCTCACTATGGCGGCCTGCGGACAGGAAACGCTTTATTGTGACGGGTCAGACCCGCGGCCCGGCAGGAAGCGGAACGGCGGGTCGGCTGACCTGGATCAGGAGCTTCCGGTCCTCCTCGATGTTCTTGTGGGTCGTCTCCTGCTCCTGCTTCTGCTCCGTCTTCATCGGCACGTTGATGTTCACCCTCAGCTTCTTGCTGCAGAACAGAACCGGCAGAACCCGTCAGAACCGGGCCGGGAACAGCGCCGACCCAAAGGGAAGCTGCAGGAACTTTTATTAAAACGGTCACCAGATTATTAGTTTACGAGACGGACCTCAGCGCTGTCAATCATCCACATGTACTCACTGCTAAAGGTGCAAATGGAGCAACAGCCGTTACAGGAAAACCGTCTGTCTGCCACCTTCAGTGGCTATGCTAACTAGCTTAGCATTCATAATAGGCTGTGCTAGCTGCAGCGTAGCAGAGCGACAAGCCCCGCCTCTGAGCTCTGATTGGCTGCTTCCAGTGGGAGAAAGAGGAGGAGCCTCATTTTTCACTCCTCACATTTTGACAGTTTGAACAAATGTGTAAAAAATTATAAAAGTTACAAAGTGCAGCTTTAAGCCACATTTGGTCAATTTCTAACTATAAACTTTTAAAAATGAAAACTAAACTTCTACAAACATCTGAACTTAAAACATGAATAAATTAAGGCTGAAGCAAAATCACAGATCATTTCTAACAGATTTAAAGGATCAGAGTTAATACTATATTTACAATTTTATTTGAATATGTAATGAAAACAAAACTCAACCTGTGACTGGAGTTAAACTACCAGATGTTCCTGTTTAGTTCAGTTTGTGTCAGAAACATTTGAAATAAAATAATAAACCGGTGATGAATGAGAGACGGACTTCTTGTATCCCAGGAACAGCTTGATGACCGTGTCCGGTTTGAACTCCACCTCGTCCACGTTGGCGTTCTCGTCCTCCAGAACCTGCGGAGGACACAGTTTGGACCTGAGACCAGAACCGAGGCCCGGTTGCGTTTGGCGCCCTCCTGTGGCGGCTCGGCTCGACTCACCAGCAGCTTGGACTTTAACAGGATCTGCAGAACCTGAACCAGGATGTCCTGAAAGCACAGAGCCGGGTCAGAACCAGAACCAGAGTCAGCTGGAGGTTCTGCAGGGTTGCTTACGGTTTTGATCTGCGTGCTGTCGGTCAGCTGCTGCACCGTGTAACTGTCCTCCGTGTTGTACTGCAGCAGGATGGCCATGGAAGGTGGAGGCCTGCAGGGTGTACCTACAACCAGAACCAGAACCAGAACCGGGTCGGACACTGCAAGACTTCTACCAAACTTTATTTAAAAGAACACATATCCATGACAACGGCTGAGACGCGGCCGATGCAGTTTATGATTTGACATCAATTTACTAATAATAATTTGATTGTTTTTAAGTTTTTATCAAGTTTTGAACTGAAATTTTAAAAAATCTGGTCACTTTTCTATTTTTTTTAAGAGATTATCTTCATGGTTTTGTGTGAAATGTTTCACATTCTCATGTCTTATTGTTTTCCAACAGCTGAAATGATGTTAAATACTAGTTACTATTTTAAAATATGATGAAATATCCATAAGAATCTGGATGGAGAAAAAAACTTTTCTGTTGAAACTGGAATTTAGCGGTTAAAAGACCAGAAAGTTAAAATGAAATTTTCATGATTAAAAACTATTTTATTTAAACCTGAAACATTATAAAACATCAAGTTTGTGACAGAAATCGTCATAAATGTAGCAGCTGGAGGGTCTGGAATATCAAACAGTTTGTTCTAGAGACTCATTAAAATCTCTAAACAAGTTAATTGAAGGAAATAAAAAAAAAAGAATCATAATTTCTAACTGATTCAAAGCTTTATAATTAGTGGAACTTTACGGCTCTCCGGCTGCAGCCTGGACCAGAGATGATGCTAATAAAAAGTCCAGTCCGGTCCCCGGTGCCGTTCCGGTCCCAGTCCAGTCCGGTGCCGGTCCGGTCCGGTCCAGTGCCCGTCCGGTCCTGTGCCGGTCCCAGTCCGGTCCGGTACCAGTCCGGTCCAGTCCCGCCTACCTGTTCTTGAAGCAGTTGGTGACCAGCTCTCCTTTGGACAGGTGGTAGAGCCAGGTGAGCTTCCTGCCGCTGTGCCTGCTGGCGTAGAACGCCGTGAAGCGCTGGTAGCTCCTCTCCAGCTGCAGACACAAACGCCACACCGTTACCACGGAGATGGAGGTGCCGGGAGGAAGAGGAGGAGGGACTTCCTGTTTACCTCTGAGGCAGAGCGAAGGTGCAGGACTGCTGGAACGGCCAGGACCGGAGCTCAGCACCTGGATGCTGAAGTCCACTGAAACACAGGACACACAGGAAGCTGAGACCTCGTCACCGTGGTGACCGTGGTCACCATGGTGACCGTGGTCACCGTGGTGACCGTGGTGACGGGAGACGGGCAGCCTTACGGTCCAGCGGCTCGGAGTTGCTGAGGTGCTTCTTGAACTGTTCGTTGAGGTCTTTGCTGACACCGATGTCCTGGAACATCCGCTGCAGCTTGGACGTGTATTCAAAGCCACACGCTTGCTGCGCACACAACACACACACACACACACAGTGAGCTGGAGGCGGGTCTGGGGTCCGGTCCGGTCGGCTCTCACCTTCAGCTTGGAGATCATGCTGGCCTCGGCGTCGTCGCTGGCGCTGTTCTGGTGAACCAGGCGCTTTGCCAGCATCTTGGCGTAAAACTTCTGGAAAACGTCTTTGTCCTCGATGTACTTGAACACAACCATCTGAGGAAGAGGAGGAGGAAGATGAAGAGGCGGGTCAGGACGGGTCAGAACCTCCATCAGTCAAAAACTCACTTGGTTCAGCGTGTCCTCAAGCTCCGCCTCCTCCGGGTTCTTGGAGCTGAAAACAGGAAACATTTTGAGCATCAGGTCAAGAGGTCATCACCTTTGACCTAGACTTCAAAATAAAAGATTTTCTGATACCAACTAACCTGCATTTTTCATTTTTCTCAAAAGGAACAGAAAATATTCTCAAAAAGTGGATTTTATTTCAATCTTTCCTTCTGTTTTTGTAAACCTGAGTATTAAAGCTACAAACATCACAAATTTACAACAAAACTCCAATGAAATCAAAAGTTCAATAGTTGTTCAGATTTGACATTTTTCATTCTTCAAAATGTCTATTTGCTTAATCACTGATGATTAGATATTTCCTTATTTCTAAAACTGATGCCAAAGTATAACTTCACAAGATGCAAACCTTTCTATTAAATCTTTATTTAAATCTTATTTATTCTTCTATTATTACAACAATATGTATTGTTTTGACCTTATGTTCATTTAAAATGAAATCATAGAATGTTCCTAATATTTTGTCATAAAGTTCAATTCAAAGCTAAAATAAACAGAAGCCCAAAAACAAGATGGCCGCCCTGACATCACTATGAACGACACAAACTCAAGGAAAAATACACACCTTAAAAAGACTTAATGGATAAATAGATCAATAACCCAGCCCTGTGTCTCACACTCACACTCACACACACACACAC